TCATATTTCTCAAATGGAAGAAGTTTGGAACAGCCAGGATTCTTCCAAGAGCTGGTCACCTGGCCAAACTGAGCAAATGGGGGGGGGGGGGGGGGGGAGAGAGGCCTTAGTAAGACAGGTGACCAAGAACCCGATGGTCAGTCTGACTGAGCTCCAGTGCTCCTGTGTGGAGTTGGGACAAAGTTGCAGAAGGGAAACCACCACTGCAGCCCTCCACCGATCTGGGCTTTATGGCAGAGTGGTTAGACGGAAGCCCCCTGCTCTGTGTAAAACACATGAAAGTCTACTTGGACAGCTGTAGGACTCTTAGACTGTGAGGAACAAGATTCTCTGGTCTGATGAAACCAAGATTGAACTGTTTGGTCTCAATTCCAAATGTTGTGTCTGGAGGAAACCAGGCAGCACCTATTACCTGCCCAATACCATCCCAACAGTGAAGCAGGGTAGTGGTAGCATCATGCTTTGGTGTAAAGGGGGGGGTAGGGGTTCAGCAGCAGGGACTGGGAGACTGGTCAGGGTTGAGAGAAAGCTGGATGGAGCAAAGTACGGAGGTATCCTCAATGAAAACCTGTTCCATAGCGCTCAGGACCTCAGACTGGGCCTAAAATTCACCTCCCAACATGACAACGATCCTAAGCATACAGCTAAGAGACCACAGGAGCGGCATAGGGACAACTCTGTGAATGTGCTAGAGTGGCCCAGTCAGAGCCCTGCCTTGAACCCTATTGAGCATTTGGGGAGAGACCTCCAAATAGTTGTCCACCAACAGTCCTCATCCAACCTGACTGAGCTTGAGAGGATTTGCACAGAAGAATGTCAGAAATTCCCCCAAACCACGTGGGCAAAGCTTGTGGCCTCATACCCAAAAATACATTGCTGCCAAAGGTATCAATGCCTTCATCCTTCCAGGAGCTGCCTGCATACTTTCGCCATATGATGCTGGGCATTGTCATGCAACAGGAGGAACCCAGGACCCCCTGCACCAGCGTAGTGTCTGACAATGGGTCCCAGGATTTCATCCCCATACCTAATGGCAGTCAGGGTGCCATTGTCTAGTCTGTAGAGATCTGTGCGTCCCTCCATGGATATGCCTCCCCAGACCATCACTGACCTACCACCAAAACGGTCATGCTGAACCATGTTACAGGCAGCAGAACGTTCTCCACGGCTTCTCCAGACCCTTTCACATCTGTCACATGTGCTCAGGGTGAACATGCTCTCATCTGTGAAAAGCACAGGGTGCCAGTGGTGGACCTGCCAATTATGCTGTTCAATGGGAAATGCCAATCGAGCTCTATGGGGCCGGGCCCACTAGAGGACGTCGGGCCCTCAGGCCACCCTCATGAAGTCTGTTTCTGATTGGTCAGAGACATTCACACCAGTGGCCTGCTGGAGGTCATGTAAGGCTCTGGCAGTGCTCATCCTGTTCCTCCTTGCACAAAGGAGCAGATACCTGTCCTGCTGATGGGTTAAGGACCTTCTATGGACCTGTCCAGCTCTCCTAGAGCAACTGCCTGTCTCCTGCAATCTCCTCCATGCTCTTGAGACTGTACTGGGAGACACAGCAAACCTTCTGGCAATGGCACGTATTGATGTGCCATCCTGGAGGAGTTGGACTGCCTGTGCAACCTCTGTAGGGTCCAGCTATGGCCTCATGCTACCAGTAGTGACACTGACCATAGCCAAATGCAAAACTAGTGAAAAACAGTCAGAATAGATGAGTAGGGAAATAAATGTCAGAGGCCTCCACCTGTAAAACCATTCCTGTTTTGGGGGTAGTCTCATTGTTGCCCATCTAGTGCACCTGTTGTTAATTTCATTGCCACCAAAGCAGCTGAAACTGATCAACAACCCCCTCTGCTACTTACCTGACCAGACCAATATCCCAGGAGTCTACTTGACTTATTATTATTATACAGGATTTATATACAGTAGCGCCAACAGTTTGCTCAACGCTTTACGATGCTATACTTGGATTAAAAAGTCTTCCTTTCATTTTTTTGAGCAGTGTATATCCAGTAAAGTATTTTCTAAAATTCTAATATCTGTCTTGTTGTCTGCAGTGATTCATCTAACCTGGTGTGCCAGAGGGGGAGAGGTTGTTCTTGGGATTGAGGCAAAGCAACAGGGGACCCAAGACATTCAAGCGGCTCCTTCAGGGTTAGCGCTACACATATTACACCATATACTTTTTTTTTTGTTTCTGGTTTTGCAGCGGCATTGTTGCGATCTTCCTGGTGATGTTAGCCAGTGATTGATTATCAGCGGAGACAGGCCCTACGGTTGTCATCCTCTGTTTTTCTTCCTGCTCAGTGCTGAGACTTGAGTCGTGTAGCTTTTGTGTCGATGGAGATGTCTCAGAACCCCGGATAAATATTTCGAGGTGTGTTCTGTCCGAGGTTGTTAAGGATCGGCTGAATTGTCCTGGAAGACAATGATCGCAGGCACTGACAATGAGGGTGAATGCAGCCAAAATGACCTCACTCCGCAAACACAGGATTGCTGGGCGAGGTCATTTTGGCTGCAGAGTTGATGGATAGAAGGTGAGGAGGACTACCGGAGCATCTGCTCTGGCGGCCAGCAATCCCACGTTGCCTTTATACAGCAGTCAGGATTAGGGCAGGAGGATCTTCACCCTGTACAAAAAAAAAAAATTAAAAGTCAGTAGCTGCAAATACTGTAGACACTTACCTGTCGCAGGATCTCGTGAGGTCCTCACCCAGCTCAGCGCTTTGCCGCTCTTCGGTATCTGGCAACGGCGGGCAGCTGACTGAGCTGCACCCTGTGAAGGGTCCCACAGTCACCTGGGACCTTTGCCATTTCCCAGGCTGCGGGGGAGACGGGGCGAACTTCCATGCCAATCACCTAATGCAGGGGTCTCCAAACTATGGCCTGTGGGCAGGATGCAGCCCTTTACTTGCTTCTATCCGGCCCTTGTTTATTCCCCCCTCTGTCTGCAACAATGGGGCATAGCTCCTGCCACCATCACTGAGTATTGGGCACTAGTCGTCTCACTGACACCAATGATGGGGCACTATTCCTCCCGCTGACACCAATGATGGGGCACTAGTCATCTCATTGACAACAATGATGGGGCACTAGTCTTCTCACTGACGCCAATGATGGAGCACTATTCCTCCCACTGGCACCAATGATGGGACACTAGTCTTCTCACTGACGCCAATGATTGAGCAATAGTCTTCCCACTGACGCCAATGATGGGGCACTATTCCTTCCACTGGCATCAATGTTGGGACATTATTTCTCACTGATACCAACAATGGGTAACTTTTCCTCCCTCTCACACTGATTCCTCCTTCTGACACCAATAATGGGACACTATTCCTCCCTCTGACACCAATGATGGGGCACTATTCCTCCCACTGACACCAATGAAGGGGCACTATTCCTCCCTCTGACACCAATGATGGGGCACTATTCCTCCCATTGACACCAATGATGGGGCACTATTTCTCCCACTGATACCAATGATGGGACACTATTCCTCCCACTGACACCAATGATGTTGCATTATTACTCCCACTGATACCAATGATGGGGCACTATTCCTCCCACTGATACCAATGATGGGGCACTATTCCTCCCACTGACACCAATGATGTTGCATTATTACTCCCACTGATACCAATGATGGGGCACTATTCCTCCCACTGATAGCAATGATGGGGCACTATTCCTCCCACTGACACCAATGATGGGACACTATTCCTCCCACTGATACCAATGATGGGGCATTATTACTCCCACTGACACCAATGATGAGGCACTATTCCTCCCACTGATACCAGTGATGGGACACTATTCCTCCCACTGATACCAATGATGGGACACTATTCCTCCCACTGATACCAATGATGGGGCACTATTCCTCCCACTGATACCAATGATGGGGCACTATTCCTCCCACTGATACCAATGATGGGGCATTATTACTCCCACTGATACCAATGATGGGGCATTGTTTACTCCCACTGATGGCTGGACGTTTTCTACTCCCGCTGGCCCCCCATGAAGTATGACGAAGAGTAAACTGGCCCTCTCTTTACAAAGTTTGCAGACCCCTGGCCTAGGTGGAGTGGAAGTGGGAGCGCGGTACCCGTCAAAATCAGGTACCAGCCCCCCCCCCCCTCGAAAAAAAAAGAAATTACAAATGGGAGAGGAGATGGAGGAGGAGGAAAAGAGGAACAGAACTTCCCCTTTTGGGTGAAGTTCCACTTTAAGGTCATTTAAAAGTTTATATAATTGACATCCTTGAAGTGTATGCTCGGCAGATCATCGCCATGCAATGTCGTCTGTTGTGACATGCTGTGTTGCTATAAACTGTATTCCGGCATCATTTTATTGCTATGCACACCAATGTAGTGCTCTGGTAGGCCCTACACCAAGCAAGGCTTGAAAACAAATTTGAATTCGAAAACAAAATTAACAAAAAAAAAAATCGAACAAACATTCCAAAACAAATTTAAAGCAGAGCTTCACCCAAAAGGGAAAATTATGCTTTAAGGACTGGTCCCCACTCCCCGTTATCTTTTAAATTTTTTCAAATTCGGTTGAAATCTTTCCAATTTCAAACAACTTTTTGAATTTAGTTGAGTCCAGTTCAAATTCGGTTGAACCAATTTCGAATGCGAACGACTTTTCGAATTTGGTCGAAATGTTTTCAAATTGAATTTGAATACAAATTACTGAAACAAATCCTGAAAACAAATTGAACGTATTTACCGAATCCAACTACACAAAATTTGTTAGATTTCAAAACGAAACAAAATACATTTTTTTTGTTTTGCACATGTCTAATGAGACGTCTTTTGTTGTTGTGGGGATGGATCTATTGTTATGGGAGTCTTTTGTTGCTGGGGGCTGTCCATTGGTGCTGGCTGCAGGGGATCTACAGTTTTTTACTGCTTTTCTTGTTATCAACAAATTCCATACAAATTACTTAGAATTACAAAATGATACTTGCTTCTGCATTCTCACATAAGGGGTGGAACCAAGGGATGATTCTTGGAGGTGGGTAGGAGGTGGAACCAAGGGATGATGCTCGGAGGTGGAACCAAGGGACGGTGCTCGGAGGTGGGTAGGGGCGGAACTAAGGGACGGTGCTCAGAGGTAAGTAGCGGGTGGAACCAAGGGACTGTGATCAGAGGTGGGTAGGGGGTGGAACCAAGGGACGGTGCTCGGAGGTGGGTAGGGGGTGGAACCAACGGACAGTGCTTGGAGGTGGGTAGGAGGTGGAACCAAGGGAACGATGCTCGGAGGTGGGTGGGAGGTTGAACCAAGGGAACGATGCTCGGAGGTGGGTAGGAGGTGGAACCAAGGGAACGATGCTCGGAGGTGGGTAGGGGGTGGAACCAAGGGATGGTGCTCGGAGGTGAGTAGGGGGTGGAACCAAGGGACGGTGCTCGGAGATGAGTAGCGAGTGGATCCAAGGGACGGTGCTCGGAGGTGAGTAGCAGGTGGAACCAAGGGACGGTGCTCGGAGGTGGGTAGCGGGTGGAACCAAGGGACGGTGCTCGGAAGTGAGTAGCGGGTGGAACCAAGGGACTGTGATCAGAGGTGGGTAGGGGGTGGAACCAAGGGACAGTGCTCGGAGGTGGGTAGGGGGTGGAACCAACGGACAGTGCTTGGAGGTGGGTAGGAGGTGGAACCAAGGGAACGATGCTCGGAGGTGGGTAGGAGGTGGAACCAAGGGAACGATGTTCGGAGGTGGGTAGGAGGTGGAACCAAGGGAACGATGCTCGGAGGTGGGTAGGGGGTGGAACCAAGGGATGGTGCTTGGAGGTGAGTAGGGGGTGGAACCAAGGGATGGTGCTCGGAGGTGAGTAGCGAGTGGATCCAAGGGACGGTGCTCGGAGGTGAGTAGCGGGTGGAACCAAGGGACGGTGCTCGGAGGTGGGTAGCGGGTGGAACCAAGGGACGGTGCTCGGAAGTGAGTAGCGGGTGGAACCAAGGGACGGTGCTTGGAGGTGAGTAGCGGGTGGAACCAAGGGACGGTGCTCGGAGGTGGGTAGCGGGTGGAACCAAGGGACGGTGCTCGGAGGTGGGTAGCGGGTGGAACCAAGGGACGGTGCTCGGAGGTGAGTAGGGGGTGGAACCAAGGGACGGTGCTCGGAGGTGGGTTGGGACGTGCGGAGACAGGAGGTGACTCAGAAGAGGGGAGTTCCCGCACCTATTCTCTGAGAAAAAAAATCCCTGACTAAGATAGTAAAGGCATTTCATTGCTTATGGGCCTATTCACAGCAGATGTGTTGGGGGTACACTGGCTGCTATTTCCAGTGCAGCTCCAATGCATGGACACAGTAACATGCCAGGTTTCTTATGTTGGCAGCTCACAGTTCAGCATTTCTGTGGTTTGCACTAGTGACAGTTAAAAAAGGTGCCCTGGGATTGGTGCGACCATTCCTTAAAGGCACTGACATGATGATCACATGACTTATTGATAACTTAGCAGTTATCATTAGGATGAAACAGGATTGGAGTTTATTATTTCAGGTACTTGTATATCGCCATCAATTTACGCAGCGCTCTACATATATATTGTACATTCACATCAGTCCCTGACCCTCAAGGGGTGTACAATCTAAGGTCCCTAACTCACATTCATACATACACATACTAGGGACAATTTAGACAGGAGCCAATTAACCTACCAGCATGGAAAGTGGGAGGAAACTGGAGGAAACCCACACAGGCACAGGGAGAACATGCAAACTGCAGGCAGGTGGTGCCGTGGTTGGGATTCAAACCAATGACTCTAATGCTAACCATTTAGCCACTGCACTGCTACCATTAGGGTGTTGGGTAGGGTTGGCAACACTATCCAAAGGCACAAGATAGATTTTTATCAGATTGCCGCCTGTTTACAGTACATTTACTGTTGGCGGGTGGCTGGATAGCACAGCCAGGTTGGATCATGTATAGGTACATGATTCAGCTTCTTCCGGAAGCTGCAATTTTGTCAGCAGGTTCTGGCTAATGTTTTATGGCTGAGACCTGCTGATCAGTTGGAGCCAATCACAACACAGAGTCCTGTGTTTACAAACAACACAGGGCTCTGTATATAGAGCAGCGATCTAACTGTTTTTTCTCCCTGCATCTTTTTTTACAAAATCTTTTTTCATTTTTATAATAAAAAATAAAAACCCCAGAGGTGATCAAATACCAACAAAAAAAAGATCTATTTGTGTGAAAAAAATCGACAAACATTTAATTTAGGTACAACATTGCGGGATAGCAAAAAAAATGTTCTGGTCACGAAAAGGGCTAAAACCTTCCGGAGGTCAAGTGCTTAAATACATGAAGGGTAAAAAATATAAGGTTTAGAAGGACATTTTTTTTTAATCAAAGTGAAGCTAACATCAACACTACTTCAAAGTAGCAGGAGGAAAGTTCAAAACTAAGCTAGAAAGAGTAGTTGATGCTTGGAACAGACTTCCAGCAGAGTCAGTCAACAGTCTCCTTCCAGAGAGTCTTGCTTCTCTAGTTTCTGTTTTGCAGAGGCTGGTCCACATCCCTACCACATGTGTTCCTTCTTCTGGGGGGCTGTGCCTCCCAGAAAAAAATTGCCACCCTAGGCAAATGCCTTGTTAGCCTTGCTTTAAATACGCTATTGTGTATTCCTCTACACTCCCCCAATCTAAACAAGTAATAGACTTTACTATGTGTGGGAGGAAAGGGGGGGCAGGGGCTCCACCTAAAAGTTATTTGTAAAGGCCTGGGAAGTGAATGTGTTTATTGCCTGTTTGTTGGCCTGCACAGTGGCTAAATGGTTAGCACTTCCACCTTGCAGTCCTAGGGTTGCTGGTTCACATCCCAACCTCAGCACCACCTCCCTGGAGTTTTCATGTTCTGCCTGCGTGGGTTTCCTCTGGGTACTCCATTGTCTTCCTACACTCCAAAGACATACTGGTAGGCCAATTGGTTCCTGTCAAAATTGCCCCAGTATGAAAGTTATTTGTAAAGGCCTGGGAAATCAATCTGTTTGTTGCAGCAGCACAGTGGCTAAATGTTTAGCAGTATTATCATTATTGGTTTGAATCCCAACCATGGCACCACCTGCCTAGAGTTTGCGTGTTCTCCCTGTGTCTGCGTGGGTTTCCTCCTACACTCCAAAGACATGCTGGTAGGTTAATAGGTTCCTGTCTAAATTGGCCCTAGTATGAAAGTTATTTGTAAAGGCCTAGGAAGTCAATCTGTTTGATGGGGCAGCACAATGGCTAAATGGTTAGCAGTATTAGCATCGTTGGTTTGAATCCCAAACACAGCACACCTGCCTGGAGTTTGCATGTCCTCCCTGTGCCTGTGTGAGTTTCCTCCCACACTCCAAAGACATGCCGGTAGGTTAATTGGATCCTGTATAAATTGGCCTCAGTAAGAAAGTTATTTGTAAAGGCCTGGAAGTCAATCTGTTTGATGGGGCAGTACAGTGGCTAAATGGTTAGCACTTCTGCCTAACAGTACTAGAGTCATTGGTTTGAATTCCAACGACAGCACAACCTGCCTGGAGTTTGCATGTTCTCCCTGTGTCTGCATGGGTTTCCTTCCACACTCCAAAGACATGCTGGTAGGCCAATTGGTTCCTGTCAAAATTGGCCCTAGTATGAAAGTTATTTGGAAAGGCCTGGGAAGTCAATCTCTTTGTCGGGGCAGCACAGTAGCTAAATGGTTAGCAATATTAGCATCGTTGGTTTGAAATCCCAACCACGGCACCACCTGCCTGGAGTTTGCACTTTCGTGCCTGCGTGGGTTTCCTCTGGGTACTCCAGTTTCCTCCCCCACTCCAAAGACATGCTGGTAGGTTAATTGGTTCCTGTCTAAATTGGCCCCAGTATGAAAGTTATTAGTAAAGGCCTGGGAAATCAATCTCTTTGTCGGGGCAGCACAGTGGCTAAATGGTTAGCTTTTCCACCTGGCAGTACTCGGGTCATTGGTTTGAATCCCAACCACAGCACCACCTGCTTGGAGTTTGCATGTTCGCCCTGTGCCTGCATGGGTTTCCTCCAGGTAACCCAGCTTCCTCCCACACCCCAAGGACATGCTGGTAGGCTAATTGGCTCCTGTCTAAATTGGCCCTAGTATGTGTATGTGAGTTAGGGACCTTAGATTGTACATCCCTTGAGGATTAGGGACCTTAGATTGTACGCCCCTTGAGGGTTAGGGACCTTAGATTGTACATCCCTTGAGGATTAGGGACCTTAGATTGTACGCCCCTTGAGGGTTAGGGACCTTAGATTGTATGCCCCTTGAGGGTTAGGGACCTTAGATTGTACATACCTTGAGGATTAGGGACCTTAGATTGTACGCCCCTTGAGGGTTAGGGACCTTAGATTGTATGCCCCTTGAGGGTTAGGGACCTTAGATTGTACGCCCTGGAGGGTTAGGGACCTTAGATTGTACGCCCCTTGAGGGTTAGGGACCTTAGATTGTACGCCCCTTGAGGGTTAGGGACCTTAGATTGTACGCCCCTTGAGGGTTAGGGACCTTAGATTGTACGCCCCTTGAGGGTTAGGGACCTTAGATTGTACACCCCTTGAGGGTTGGGGACCTTAGATTGTACACCCCCTTGAGGATTAGGGACCTTAGATTGTACACCCCTTGAGGGTTAGGGACTGATGTGAATGTACAATATATATGTAAAGCACTGCGTAAATTGACCTGTAATAAATAAATTACATGGCAACCTCACATGACACCACTGGATGTCAGAATAGAAAAATAGAAAACCTCCATGTCTTTGCTGACAGTTTCCTTCTGACTGACAGCAGTATGAATGATGATCAGAAATTGTACGGCGATTTTTCCCTGACGTATCTGTACATGCAAATCTTCCTTTGGAGAAAGTGACGCAGTGAGATCGGCTGCCATGTCTTCACCCCAGTTTCTGTAGATAGTGATTCATCTACGATAAAGTATAAAGGGACATTGTGACAGCAGCTAACATTTGCGCTGGTCGAATAACCGGTTTTCCTGCCACGGCCGGGAATAATGCTCATATTGTATTGATATAAGATTACATTTGCAGCTTGTGTGCGTAAAACGGGATTTCAACAAAAACAAACAAATGCTTGTTTTTTCCATTCTTTTATCGATTTCTACCGACCAGGATGTGAAGTGCTGCAACACTGGGATAGAAAAGAACAAAAAGACTTCTCTCAATGTGTACAGTGGGCACATGAGAAAGCCGGTTTGGAAAAATAAAATGCTACCATGTCGTCATGATGCGTGTTAAAAGTTTGGGTTTGGCCATTCCAAAGCCTCAAAATGATTAAAGAAGAATTCCGTGCAGCGAGGCTGTTAGAAACCATAGGGCCCCATACAGCCAACCTGACCACCTCCCCCCCCCAAAAAAAACCTGTTTCTTATGCTTCAGTTATGAATGAACACAGTATGTGATTGGTACCGATCACCCATTGTGTTCATTCGGGGAAAGAAAG